GTATGCAGAAGAGCAAGGTGAGTCCGGTCACTGTCATTATTCAAAAACAATCTTTCAGGAGAAGAATTTTACAACTGGATTTGGGGCTGTGGGCAGATAAGTCACAGGAATGATTCTATTGTGTATCCTGAAGTCATCCATCCAGCTAGCAGTCACAGCTGCAGGCTGAAAAGACATTGCCCCTAGAGTGGGGAACTGCCAAAGTCTAGCCAGGATATTAGGTCAAGAGAAAAGACCTCAGGCACAGGGGAAGCCAGCTGCAAAATCTTAGAGGTGAGTTAGAGAAATACTGGGCTAAGCTGGGTCAACAAAAATAGACATACGGGAAGGAAGCAACTCAGTGGTACTTTGTCTCAGTTTGGGTTCTCCTAGAAGCAGGCTGTGAGCCTGTGATTTCAGTGCAAGTAGTTTATAGGGAAGGTGAAGGGAATACTACTAGAGGAGTAGGAAAGTGAGGCAAAGGAGGGAAGGCATTGAACAAAGGGCATAATACCAAGACAGCTACAGTTGTGGGCAACTGAAGCTTAACCCTGCTGGAAAATTCTGGCCGCTTAGGCAGAATTTATCTCAGAGTTAGTCTACCTAGGGGTGAGGGAGCTGGGGTATTTACACTTCAACATCCCTAATGCTTCCAGTCTGCTGTGTGGGTGGTGACTCAGGCCCAGGACCAAGAAAAAACCACTGTCAGAGAAATGAAGGTATTGATAATTGAAAAGTTCATGTCCTTGTCAAACTTGTTTTGAGTTAGCAGACCGAGAGGTTCAGAGAGAACAACTAAAAGGGGGAGGGAAAGGCAAGAGGTGACAACTTATCTGCTGGGAAACACTTCCCACTTCTCCCATGCCCACCACCACCATCAATACTGCAATAGCAGGGCAAGAAGGAGTCTACAGGGGCAACAGTCATGTTAACACTTGTTACTGCAGTTGCAACCTCTTCTAGAATTTTCTACAAGGGCATTGGAAGGTTTCATGAGGTCAGGTGCAATAGCCAGGAGGAAACTGAGATCTGAGCAAAGAGAATATAATTAGGAATAAAGTCAAGGGACCCAGATTGGAACTCAAATACTGCTATTAGCTAGTTCTAATTTGAGGCAATTCATTTTGTACCTCTGTTTTTATTTTCTATGGGAATCATAGAGTATCAGTGTTACTTTCTAAGAGTCTTTTAAGGAAAAATCGTGATAATTTTGGCGTACGAAACCCTTTGTAAATTATAGTGCACCATAAAAATGTTTTTAAAATTGTGATTAATTTGCATTGCTGGCTAAAAATAGTGTCAACTCTATTGTCTATACCTATAAACTGGCTTAAAAAGGGATATTTGAATATGAACACATTTTTTTTCCTTGAAACACATTTGTTTGTATAAACATAGCCTAAGATGTAAAATAAAATTTAGGTCACTGATTAAGACCACTAGTGTATAACATTTAGTCTAGAGTCCTACATTAAAATATGGAAAATATGCATGCAATTGACTTAATTGACTTATAGATGAATGAGGAGTGAACAGCCAATTGATTTGAAAAGGGTAACATTTTTCATCGAATGAATCATTGGAAAGATATTTCTAACTTTGGCAAATTTCTTGTTTTATGCATTTCTTATTTTAGGATGAAAAATTTTGAAACCAGTACTTTATCATTTTCTCCTGAGGAAAATTTTGGAGATGACAGTGGACTTGCTGCATATGTGGCTAAAGCGATAGACCCATCTATCAGCTGGGAAGATATCAAATGGCTGAGAAGACTGACGTCATTGCCAATTGTTGCAAAGGGCATTTTGAGAGGTTCGTTTATTTCTCTACTTGAATTCATACAGATTTTATGATCCTTTGTGGATATGGTCTTCATATTCTTAAAGGAAAATAACAAGGAAATATTAACGTGGAAATTGAGAGAGATATTCCAACTCTCAATTCTCTCTTTTCATGTCAGTGAGTAAATATTTCTTCATTCTTAGGTAATATTCTGAAGTAGAGCTAAACTCTCATGAAGTAGAAAGTTAGCCTTTTCAAAGAATTGGAATGCCATTGCCTTATTTCAGAGCTGTTACTGAATCATGAAGCCTGGCAAGATCTTGGTAGAACATCACGAGTTCATTGCTTTACCTGAAAGCTACAACAGCTGCTCTCAGACCAAAGAGAAACCCCAAGGAGATATTATGACAGACAGACTTGTTTTAAGAGCTTTCCCTCTTTTCCTTGTGTTCCCTCCAGTACAAATGGCTAGGACTAATTTTTGAGTGTGGTCAAACCCACATCACCTCTCTGAAGAGAATGGCTGACTAGTATGGTCAAATGCTCAATTATCAAGCCATGGGTAACAAGAAACTTAACTATTTCCTCCAGCATCCCCATATATTCAGATCCCACAGGGAGGTACCAATGACTATAATAATTTTGGAGTGTAAATGTGTTTACCCACAAAAATGTTTTCTTGCCTTTGAAAACATTTTTTTTTTTTTTTTTTTTTAGTGTGGTTATACAGATAACTGCCAAAAACTTTTTTCTTTTTTCTTTTTTTTTAACTGAAATGTTTGAGTAAGTGACTTTGGGATGAGAGTCTGTCCGTTAGTGTATGTCTATTAAATGACGTTGAATCAAAACTTTTTCATAGATTTTACTTGAACGTGTCTGAGTCATGTGGTCCCTATTTATAAAGTTCTACCTACTTTGACTATTTAATTTTATGTCTGAAGAAATGAGCTTATAAAAGTAAAAGAAATAAGCCCAGTGCAACATTTAAGTAGTGGAGATATGTTTAAATCCAGATGTTCTTATTCTGTGCTTAAACAAATTAGTTTTTAAAATCGATATATAATAGTTGTACATATGCATAGAGCATATAGTGATGTTTCAATACCTGTAATGTATAGTAATCAGGTAATTAGCATATCCATCATCTCAAACATTATTCTGTACTTCTAAAAAAATTGTTCACTGTTTCCTACTGATCATTGTACTAGTTCAAAATTTCTGTGGATTATACTTCAATGAATATGTATTGGTTTGGTTTACAGACACCTTTAAACAATGGTTTCACTTCCTTTACTTGCATCCGTGTTGTCATCCATGATTACTAGTGCTACTTACTGTGGCTGCATTCAACTGTGGGGATTAAATAATATTAACCTGAAGGTTCTGTGCCATTCATTTATGTATTCATTCATCCATTCTCTTATTCACTCACTCATTCATTCCATAAATATCGTAATTACTGTGTGCTAAAATATTTTTATAAAATAAAACAATCTTAGATCCTTGGATGAAAAGACAGTCTATTCTTGTAGGAGACAGATATATAAGCAAGCATTTTGGGTGCAATAAAATGTTATATAGAAATCTGTGCAATGTAAGGGCATGGCTTAAAAAAGAATATGGACAATAATATAAGAGTGAGTTAGAAAACACTTTTCAGAATGAAAGATGATGCTTGAGTTTTGCCATGCAAGCCAATAGACTCTATTTCAGACTGAAGTACTGGTAGAATAAAGCAATTATGCATAACAATTTATAAAACATGTAAGCCATTTAGAGAATGTAGGCCTTAAAGTGGCTGAGAACCACTGAAGTGTCTTGATCAGAGAAGCAACCTCATCAAATAAGCATTTTACAGAAATAATGCTTTGCACAATGGACCTAATGGTGGAGGTGGCAAAATTGTGGTCAGGGAAGACATTTAGGATCTGTTGTTGCCCAGAAAAGAGATAATTGTAGAGATGACCTAGAGTAATAGCAGGGAGGGGACTGAGAAGGTATAATTAAATTAGAAAATTAAGACAGTTAATCACAGAGATGGCCCAGGGGATCTGGCTTTAAAACACTAGGGAAGAATAAAATTTTAGTCTTGTTCCATAATTGTTTCGAATAAGGAACAAAGGTCATTTTATTTTTTAACTACCTTTTCAATTTAGGATTTCCAGTGTATATCATTTTCTATAACTTTGTCCCCTAAGATATGATGCAAATCAATTGAATTAGATTTACTATCACATGTTATGTTGAAAAATATTTTGGTTTCTAGAACTTCATTCTGTTATCACTTTAGCTAGGACCACTGCCACTACCATCACCACCACCACCACCACTACCACAACCTCCATTACCAGGACAACCACCACCACTGCCACCACCACCACTGCTATCACCATTATCACTCCCATCACCACCATCACCACTCCCATTACCACCATGACCACCACCACCACCACCACCACACAACCTCCGTCAACACCACCATTACCGGGAACAACCACCACCACTGCCACCATCACCACCACTACCATACCACAACTACCATCAACACCACCATTACCAGGACAACCACCACCACTACCACCACCACCAATCCCATTATCACCATGACCACAGCCACCATCAACACCACCGTTACCAGGAACCACCATTCCACCACCACCACTATCACCACCACCACCACCACCACTACTCCCATCACCACCATGACCACCACCACAACCAGCACCATAACCACAACCACCATCAACACCACCATTACCAAGACAACCACCACCACCTGCACCACCACCACCACTATCACCACTACCACCACTACCACTCCCATCACCACCATGACCACCACTATCACTACCACCATCACCACCACTACCACCATCATCACCACCTCTCTTTTCTTCTCATCCATATGGATTTCTTGCTTGTTTCTAAATGTTTTTGTGACATTTTACACATAGTAGATAGTCCAAATATTTATTTACTGAACTTCTTGATGAAAACTATGAGTCTATCTAATTAGAGAAAGCTAAAAAAAAAAAAGGATAAGGAGAGATGGGACATTTGACATTTAAAGGGAAATAACTTATTTATACATGTACAGTTTACATTGTCTAGTTTTCTGTAACCATTTGGTTCTTTTATTTAACAAACAAGAATCATCTCTATGACAACAATTGCACCAAGTAACACATATGCTCAATTTGGATCGGAAGGGAGCGGTGGCAGGACCAGTTCTGGGAAATCCAATTTTCTCCATTTCACAGGTCCTCATCCAGAAATCACATGGGTTGACTAAGAGTCACCCATCCTCTTTCATTTTCCTTTTTCAGAAAAGTGCAGATTATATTTGCAGGAACATGAAGCCATGAGCAACTGTGAAGATCTAGACCAAACATCTGACTGTCCCACCATTTTAAGAATTATATTTTAATGAATGCAAATTGGAATGGAAGATGTAATCTCTTACTGTGTGTGGTTTAACTGACCTTAGAGAATGTCAACGCAAGCTCCTAACATGTACTTGAGACAGGATTTGGTCTTTGTCAGAACTCACACTAGCAAACAAATGGCTTTTTTGAGCAAAAGCGTAGTGCTTTTTAGAGTTTTTTTCTTTTTCTTTTAATTTTTTTTGACTTAGGCTGTCTCACTTCCATTGTGGTTTTGTGTTTCTGAGAAACTTTTCTCTAGTCAGCTCTTCTTATATAGGCATACCTCAGAGACATTGTGGATTCAGTTCCAGACCACCACGGTAAAACAAGTCACATAAATTTTTTGTCTTCCCAGTGCCTATGAAAGTTATGTTTTTGCTATACTGTAATCTATTTTGCAATAGCGTTATGCCTAAAAAACAATGTATATACCTTACTTAAAAAATAAGTTACTCCTAAAAAATGCTAATCATCATCTGAGCCTTCAGCAAGTTGTAGTCTTTTTGCTGGTGGAGGGTCTTTTCTGGGTGTCGATGGCTGCTGACTGAACAGGGTGGGGGTTGCTGAAGATTTAGGGTGGCTGTGGTGACTTCTTAAAATAAGTCAAGGAAGTTTGATGCATTGATTAACTTTTACTTTTAGGAAAGATTTCTCCGTATCATGAGAAGCTATTTGATAGCATTTTACCCACAGTACAACTTTTTCAACATTGGAGTCAGTCCTCTCAAACTGCTGCTGCTTTATATGTGAAGTTTATGTAATATTCTAAATCCTTTGTTGTTATTTCAGCAATGTTCACAGCATCTTCACCAGGAGTTGATTCCATCCCAAGAAACCACTTTCTTTGCTCATCGATAAGAAGAAACTCTTCATTCATTTAAGTTTTATCACATGATTGCAGCAATTTAGTCACAGCTTCAGGCTCCACATCTAATTCAGTTCTGTTACTGTTTCTGCCACATCAGCAGTGACTTTCTTCACCATAGTCTTGAGCTCCTCAAAGTCATCCATGAGGGCTGGAATCAACATCGTCCAAATTCCTGTTAATGTTGATATTTTGACCTCCTCCCACAAATCACAAATGTTCTTAATGGCATCTAGGATGATGAATCCTTTCCAAAAAGTTTTCAATTAATGTTGCTCAGATTCATCAGAGGAATCATTAAGTATAGTATCTATAATCTTATGAAATATATTTCTTAACTAATAAGACTTGAAAGTCAAAATTACTCCTTGATCCATGGGCTATGGAGTGGAGGTTGTGTTAACAGGCATAAAAACATTAATCTTTTTGTGTTTTTCCACCAGAGCTCATGAGTCACTAGGTGCATTGTCAGTGAGCAGTGATATTTTGAAAGAAATCTTTTTTTTTTTTTTTTTCTGAGCAGCAGGTCCCGACAGTGGGTTTAACATATTTAGTTAACCATGCTGTAAACAGATGTGCAGTCATCCAGACTTTGTTGTTTTATTTATAGAGCACAGGCAGAGTAGATTTGGTAAAATTTTTGGATTATACTTTGAAGCCATGCATTGACTTCTCCTCTCTAGCTATGAAAGTCCTAGATGGCATCTTCTTCCAGTATGAGGAAGGCTTGTTTGGAAGAA